GATTCGCCTGGTCCACCAACGGCCGGAGCACCGCCAGATGCATCGAGTCTCGATGATAGCTTGAAAAAGTGAGCCCACCAGGATTCGCTGCACCGGTTCCAAGCCCCCCCCCCCTCCTCCGCCCTCCACCTCCCATCAGGCAGCAAACAGCATATAGTTAAATCGGGCCTGTCCCTCTACAGGGGGAATCTTCAAAAGTAATCAAAACAAATCTGGGATTATTTGTTTCGTATGTTTGGGCATCTTCTGAGCACTTTTTGTTGATACTTTGCATTTTTCGCCCAAAATCCCCCTGTAGGGGGACAGGCCCGACCTGGGCATTCGAGCATCTAATTGCGACACCCCCTCCCGCAGAGCTGGGCCAGCGTTTCTCAACCAGCTTGCCGGAAGGCTGGCCCAGTTTCTCGAGCACGTTCGCCCCTCCAGCATGAACAACAGAGACGTGCCCGGGCTTGTCGCCTGTGACGAGAGGTCACCGGTGCCATCGGAGGTCATTAGATTGCTCGTTCGCGTGGTGATTCATGGAGTTTGGGTTCTCTGTCGGGGGAACGTAAGACACGGGTATGCCAGAACTCGGGTTTGTCGACGTTTTTTGACGAGCGCGTCTTGGATTTTGACGGTCCAGTTTTCGTGGGATGTTTGCAGTGGGAGCTCGCGTCGAATTTCAGATTGCGTCTCGTCATTTTTATGATGGACCCCGTCAGGCCAACCCGCGCCCCCCGTACCCGAGTCTTACGTCTCCCCGACTGGCGCGGGAAAAAAATCGACGGAAATGTCCAGGAAGTTGGCCCCGATGCCTTCAGTGATAGGTTTCTTCATCGCCTGTTCGCCTGCACGTGCACAGAGCTAGACGGTCGGAGGCCGGCGCGGCCCTCGTGGATCGGCGCTGCGCCTTCCACCGCTTGCCTGATGCTACAGACGTGCGCCTGCTGTGCCCTTGCCTCCTCGCCCCCCTCGCCCTCGTCACCCAACCCCTGGCATCGCTTGGACGTGTGCATTTTTCTCGGCGAGGATCATCGAGGAGCATACTGGGCCTCGAGCCAAAAAACAAGAGGTGCGCTCTCGACCCGCGAATCAAAAAAACGTGTGCCTGCCGTGCCCTTGCCTTTCTCGTCCTCCTCGCTCTCGTCGCCCAGCCCTCCGGTTGCGACATGCCTGCTTCGCAGCCCCGGCGCGCCACCCGCAGGCGCGCCGGTGTCAGGAGACTGGTCTCCGAAGTCAAGAGCCAGTCTCCCAGCACTTGGCGCGCCTGCGGATGGGGCGCCAGGTCTGCGAAGCAGGCGCGCAGCAACCGGAGGTTTGGAGAACCCAGGTCGACAGACGTGGCGCCTGCTCTCTTGCGCAGCCAGCGCCAGCCCATAATCAATCATCGGCTTTCCGTGCGCCACCACCAGTCCATCCATGAACGGCGCCCACGGCAATCAGCTGCTTGCCAGCGCAGCATCCGCGCGTCAAGACGCAACGGCGCGCTCGATGGTTGGGTGTCTGATTGCAGCGACGAGCGCTGGTTTTTGTTTGGGACGTTTCGGGGCATCGCGGCGCGTGCGCGGCTCGAAACCGCCCATATGTGGTGGCGCCTGTCCCAATCGATAAAGAGTGGCATTTCCTCGCTATCCTGGCAACCGATGCGTCTGGGCCTGCCCTGAGGAACGACGTTGCAGTGTCGCGCCCCCAGGGGGCCGCAGCGGCCGCGTCGGGGACGGCTCTGGAGGGCATGATATGTGCTCGAGAGCGTATTGGGCCTGCCGCCACCCCGGCTAGGTACGGGGACCTGCCTGAAACCACCGAAACATACCCGGACCTAGCTGGGGTGGAGCTGCGGCACCCCGGCTAGGTACGGGTATGTTTTTGGGCTTTCATGGGGCAACCGTACCTAACTGGGGTGATCCGCAGACGGCCGTCCAAGGGGGGCGGCCTCTGGCGACCTCCCTTAGGGCACAGATTCGCGATGTCTCTGCATCGAGCAATTCGCAATAGGGCGGTTGTCGCGCAATGACGTTCCCGCCAGAGTTGTTCGCATGCGCCCCCGAGTGCGCGTTGACTCCTCAACGCCCGGATGTGTGCTTGGGGGCGCGCCTCCGCAGTAGATGGTCTACATCGACAACAACCAACGCAGGGTCGGGCACTTCGCCGATTCGAACGCACGTGCGATCGGTGCTAAAGTGCGCCCCGAGAAGACAGCGGTCTGTAATGCTCGATCGGCTGTCGTTTCTACACTTGTGCAGCCGCCGTCAGCTGCGACGAACCGCCCCCCCGGCCCCTTGCCACCCTGTCTAGGTAAGGGTACGGGTATCTTTCGCGCTCGAGAGAGGAGGACGCTATCGCTGACCTTTTGTTGTGAGAGCTTGTTGGAGGACTCTTGCGGCCCGCTTGGGGTCTTCTTGAGGCTCAGTTGGGGTCCTCTTGAGGCTGTCGCGGGGCCCTTCGGGCTCTCTGCGGGGTTCTTGGGGCCGTCCTGGGGCAATTTGGGGCTTCATGTGAGGCGGGGGGGGGATCGATTGCCCTCCTCCCCCGCCCCCCCCCCCCTTGAGGAAACGAACAGATGCTCACTACGGGGCCTCTCGGAGCCCGCTCGGGGGCCGTCGCCGGGCCAGCCTCCTCTCGGGGCTGTCTGGGGCGAACACGTGGCCACCTTACACCCATCAGGGAGCTTGTTATATATATTATATATATAATATATATATATATATATATTATATATATATATATATATATATATATATATATATATATATACTGTCATGGACTCCAGAGCTTGCTTAAGAAAGTCCGGAGTCTGCACTGAACCCCGGGCGTGTTCTTGGGGCTCCTCTTCCCGTAAAACCTCCGTGCGTCTGGACCTGGGCTACTGCTTGTGAAAACGCCTGTGGTGGAGCACATCTTCTTGGCTTGAAAGGATCTGGGCCCTAAGAGGCTTCAGAGATCCACGGGGGGCGAAAGGGCGAGGTGGCCACCACCATTGAGTTCCTTCAGGTGCTGGGACGATGTTGGCCTCTCGGGGGTTCCTTGTGGAGCGCCGTGAGCACGTTGCGCCGACGTGCGGGTGTTCTGGAGCCTCTTCGATACATGCTGGGTGATCACTTGGCCACGTTGCGCCATTTTGTGTCAGGTCGTCGCCTTGAGCTGCGTGAGGCCTTCTTGCTTGGACCAGAACGGGCCCTCTACCCCCATCGCGCCCCCCACCCCCCCGTCCAGGCCCACGGGAGGGGAGGGTGTATGGGCAGGGGTCCTTCTACCCATAAGCCGCAACACGTCCCGTTCACTCCCACCCGCCCTCCCGACACATCAGTAGCACCCGAGTCTCAGCATGGGCACGGGGCCACCATCGACAACCACGGGGAGTCGATGCAGAATGCAGCCAGGTGCGCGACGCCCGCGAAGCTCGATCCCGATCGTCCCTGTCCAAGAAGCACATCATAACTATACGAACGCTCACGGGTCGCGAAGGGCGCCCACGCATGGCCCAAGATCCTGTGGAATCCCATGTTTTTTCTTGTCCTCTGTGGCCAGAGGAGGAGGAGGAGGAGGAGGAGGAGGAGGAGGAGGAGGAAAAGGAAAAGGAAAAGGAAAAGGGAAGGTGGGCGCTGCGCGCGCAGGCCGCTCTCTTCCCCCCGCCCACCGCCACAGGCCGAAGATACCATGAAGCGGAGCGCGCGGGGCGCCCGAGCATGCGCAAGAGATCTGGCCGCGGGGTGCGCGGCATGTGCGGTTATTGCGGCAGGGTTGGTGTGTGTGTGTGGTTGTGTTTGCGTTTGCGTTTGTGTTTGCGTTTGCGTTTGTGTTTGAGTTTGTGTTTGTGCTTGTGTTTGTGGGTTGTGATTGTGCTTGTGCTTGTGCTTGTGCTTGTGTTTGTGTTTGTGTGTGTGATTGTGTGATTGTTTGTGGTTGTGCGTGATTGTGTGTGTGTTGGGGAGGGGGGGTGCGCAGGGTGTGTTGGGGAGAGGGGGTGCGCAGATACGATGAAGAGGGGCGCGCGGGGCGCCCGAGCATGCGCGAAAGCTGGCCGCGGGGTGCGCGGCATGCGTGGCTCCTGCGGCAGTGCTGGTGTGTGTGTGTGTGAGTGTGGTTGTGTTTGCGTTTGCGTTTGCGTTTGTGTTTGCGTTTGCGCTTGCGCTTGCGTTTGTGTTTGCTCTTGTGCTTGTGCTTGTGCTTGTGTTTGTGCTTGTGCTTGTGCTTGTGCTTGTGCTTGCGCTTGTGCTTGTGCTTGCGCTTGTGCTTGCGCTTGTGCTTGTGCTTGTGTGTTTGTGTTTGTGTGTGTGATTGTGCGATTGTGTGTGATTGTGTGTGATTGTGTGTGATTGTGTGTGTGTGTTGGGGCGGGGGGGGGGCGCAGGGGCTCTGGTGCGGAGCCAGTGCAGCGAGGGGCGGGGGGGGGGTCAACACGATGCAGTGGCTCGGTCAGGAGCTTTGGTTCGGCGGGCCGCGCCGCTTCTGAATGCAAAAAACAAAACGAGACTGATTTCTGAATCGAAAAAAACGAGGATGTTTTTTGAATTTGAAACACCAGACTGGCTGTTGAATTCAAGAAACCGTTCTCTGGCCCACCACGCTCCTGCCCGACACGCCATCCACGTCCCCATTCCCAAGCGTCAGCGTCCCAGGGTTCCCCGAGCCTCCCGCCCCGCGGAGCGAAGCGACGCGCTCTCCGCTTGCAGGGCGTAGTGTGTCGCCTCGGCCGCCGCCGCGACACGCTGAGCAAGCTTTCCCGACCGTAGTGCAGAGCAGTGGTTACCACCTCCCCAGACTCCTCCTCCTCCTCCTCCTCCTCCTCCTCCTCCTCCTCCTCCTCCTCCTCCTCCTCCTCCTTTGGAAGGGGGAAGGGGAACGAACTGGTGTGCCACTTGCGACCAGAGGGCTGGTGGGATTCCTCCTCCTCCTCCTCCTTCGCCTCTTCCGAGGTGGAGGAGGACAGGCGACGACGACGACGACGACGACGACGACGACGACGACGACGACGACGACGACGACGACGACGACTCGATGCCTTCCGTGACCACCAGGTGGAGTGGGCGACCGCGGAGATGGCGCGGCTGGGTGTCGGCCGGGGCGACCCGCGCGTGCACTTCGCGCAGATACTCGGGATGGTCGCGAGCCCCCGAGGGGGAGGAGGAGGGGGAGGGGGAGGGGGAGGGGGAGGAGGAGGAGGAGGAGGAGGAGGGAGGAGGAGGAGGAGGAGGAGGAGGAGGAGGAGGCAGATATTCCGATGCCGCTACCCTTCGCTCGCCGCCACGGCCGCCACGGCCGGGATCGCCTCGGAGTCCAGGTCAAAAACGCGCTCGAGGAGAGGGCCGGGGGAGTAGCGCTGTGGGTGCCTTTTGTTGCCCCAAGGGGGGGGGCACGGGCAGGGAGGAGGAGCGTGAGGAGGCGCGGGCGAGGAGGCGCAGGCGCTTCCCCCCAGGAGGCTGGCCAGCTCGAGCTCAAGTTCGATACGCTCCCCTGGAAGCGCCACGCGACGTTTGCAGGCTGCGTCGAAGAATCGTCCAGGGGACTTCCCTGGAGGTAGTTTTATGTCGGGCGCGTCCCCCTACAGGGGGATTTTCGACGAAAAAAACACAAAATACACCAAAAAGGTCAAAACAGAATCCAAAAATATTCCCCAGACTATTTTTGGATTATTTTTGGATTATTTAATCGCTTCGCTCATTCTGCCGGCCCATAATGCGTAATCGCTGGGGTTTGGCTGCGCGTCCGTGAGCCATGCTGCGCTGATGGGGGGGGGACGTTGTTTTCGGTGGTGGGTGCACCAGTCCGGTGTAGTTGGTTCGACGTTTGCGGCTGTCAGTGGTTTGTGGCGCCATCGTCTGCTCTCATGGGGCTCGCCGATGGTGGTTTGGCGCGGTCCGCCAATGGAGCCCCGCTTTCTGGAGGTTACAGGGTTCGGTCGGGCTTTGCCTGCGGTTGCCTCGGCGTGTTTAGGGGTGCTCTGTTTGTGGTGCGAGGGTGTTGGAGTCAGTGGTCTTCGTACGGATGCATCGTTTGCAATTGTGGGTCCGTTCGCATACCTTCATGCCTATGGTCGGGGAGGGGAGCTGAGAGCCTCCGCCGCTTCGGGAAGCATCCTCGTCGCCGCCGTCGTCGTCGTCGTCGTCGCCGTCGCCGTCGTCGTCGTCGTCGTCGCCGCGGTGTGCCATATGTTGGTGAGCTCGTGGCGAGCGAAAAGGAGGAGGAGGGAGGCGGGGAAAATCTTGTATCAATTGTGCTTTATGTTGGCGTGCTCGTGGCGAGCGAGAAGGAGGAGGAGGAGGGGGATATTTGGGAGCCAAGTTTGGTCGTGGACAAGACGCGTTTTTTAGACGCCGTTTGGGGTCTCTTGGGAAGCCTCTCGAGGGCCTCTTGGCAGTATTTCTAGAGCCTCCTGGGGCCTCTTGGGGCCTCCTGGGGGCCTCTTGGGGCCTGTTGGGGGCCTCTTGGGGCCTCTCGGGGGCCTCTTGGGGGCGTTATGAGGTCTCCTGGGGACGTCTTGCGGCTTAGAGCGCGAAATGTCCGTTCCGGTCCCCCGTCGGGGCCCGGTCTTGGAGCCGTCTTGGAGGCATCTTGGGCCATCTTGGAGGTTTCTGGGGGTCTCTTAGGGCTCTCTGGGGTCGTTTCGGAACGGTCTTGAACCCTCGTAGGCCGTATTGGGGCGATATTGAGGGCTTTGTGGGCCGTCTTGGAGCGCTAGGAAGCCGAAGAGGCGAGAACGCCAAAATCATCAAAAAACAAATGAAAATCATTAATTTTGGCTTGTTGGGGGCCTCTTGGGAGGTCTCTTGGACGCATCTTGGGGCGTCTTGGGAGCATCTTGGGCCGTCTTGAGGCCTCTTGGGGGCGTTATGAGGTCTCCTGGGGACGTCTTGCGGCTTAGAGCGCGAAATGTCCGTTCCGGTCCCCCGTCGGGGCCCGGTCTTGGAGCCGTCTTGGGGGCATTTTGGGCCATCTTGGAGGTTTCTGGGGGTCTCTTAGGGCCCTCTGGGGTCGTTTCGGAACGGTCTTGAACCCACGTAGGCCGTATTGGGGCGACATTGAGGTCTTTTTGGGCCGTCTTAAAGCGGTAGTAAGCCGAAGAGGCGAGAACGCCAAAATCCTATCAAAAACAATGAAAATCATCAATTTTGGCCTGTTGGGGGCCTCTTGGGAGGTCTCTTGGACGCATCTTGGGGCGTCTTGGGAGCATCTTGGGCCGTCTTGAGGCTCTTGGGGGCGTTATGAGGTCTCCTGGGGACGTCTTGCGACTTAGAGCGCGAAATGTCCGTTCTGGTCCCCCGTCGGGGCCCGGTCTTGGAGCCGTCTTGGGGGCATCTTGGGCCATCTTAGAGGTTTCTGGGGGTCTCTAAGGGCCCTCTGGGGTCGTTTCGGAACGGTCTTGAACCCTCGTAGGCCGTATGGGGGCGATATTGAGGGCTTTTTGGGCCGTCTTGGAGCGCTAGGAAGCCGAAGAGGCGAGAACGCCAAAATTTTTTAAAACAATGAAAATCAGAATTTTTGGCTTCTTGGGGGCCTCTTGGGAGGTCTCTTGGACGCATCTTGGGGCGTCTTGGGAGCATCTTGGGCCGCTTGGGGCGCTCTTGGCTTCAGGCTGCTGGGCCTGCCACATATTTGGCGTCT